ACATTTATCAGACTTGTTCTTATACATTCTCGCAATCCTTGCTGGAGGTAAATGCCACCTAGTGAATTTTCTAATGAATTCTTATTCTGCTGCTTTGTGCTGAAGTCAAGGATGGTATCATAAGAAAGATAGTGTGGCCTGGAGAATTGGAAGGTGCCTTCAACTTCCAATTTTCCCCTACTTCCTATTGGCATTTCCTCTCTTCCTTCCCATCTGATGAAATGGATAGCAATCTATAAAGGACCTTTTTTTTTTTTTTTTGATGCCTCAACATTGACTCCTAGAGACTGCCTGGACAAGTCCCTGCATTTGTCTTGCCAAGGTTTTTAGAAGTGGTTTGCTCTTGTCTTGTTCCTGGGTTGAGAGGGAAGGACTGGCCCAAAATCACCCAGCTGGCTTTGTGCCCAAGGCAGGACTAGAACTCACCATCTTCCGGTTTCTAACCTGGTGTCTTGAACCACTACGCCAAGCTAGCTCTCCTAAAGAGGCTTAGGCAGCAATAAAAGTGACAGCCTTAAAATGCTACAAGGCTTCATTAAAGTCTGCAAAGGTTATTCAGACACTTAAAAGAGAGGAAGCAGCGGTTACCTGTGAAATGATTTGGGGGGAATTCCTAAACCTTGTGTCCAGAGGGAGCAGGTTAATTAATTTCTCACTAAATGAACTCAGGCAATTGACAGTCAGCTTCTGCCAAGCCTCCTGGCCTTGAAATGTTAAACTTATGAAGTAGGTTTTGATAAAAGCATTAGAAATGATAGGAAATTATTGCCCAGCACGTAAAAGACAGAGACATTAAAAGGGACTCCCCATTTACATGGTCAGCAAAGATTCTCGTCTGAGGCCCTGTCCTCTGCTTACAAAATCATCCTCGTTTTTGCTTGTTTCTAGCTGAGAGATGAAAAATGGCAAGAAGAGAAAACCCCCGAAGATTTGATTCACAAGCTGATGGTAGAGGATGCTGAAGCTGAGAGGAGGAGAACAGAAGATCAGAAGAAAGAGGAATCCTTGATGGCAAAAGTGACCCAGGAACATGTAAGCGGCCGATGCTTCCACTCTGCTCATTGCCAGATGTGATGGCCTTTTCCCCCTTCCTCCCCCAAATTGCTCAGCCAGGCTTAACGCAGATTAGCCATTACACATCTGGCGACTAAAGCAGAAGGAAACGTAGCTGGTTCCACAGAGTCAGCAAAGGCCATCTTGTGCAGACCTGTGAAACGTGCTGGTTGTAACTCCCATCATTCCTGGTCTGCAGCACTATGTTCAAGATTTGCTTTAATGGGAAGCAGAATACAGATGCTTTAGAGCAAGGTTTCTCAACCTCGGCAACTTTAAGATGGGTGGACTTCGGTTCCCAGAATTCCCTAGCCAACAGTTCTGCACTTAAAAAATAGGCAGAGCTTTGATTGCATCATTGTGAGTCCCGTCTGACACCCCTTGGTTTTAGGTCAGTTGGTGGGAGTTGAAGTCCACAAAGTTGCTGATGTTGAGAAACACTGTTATAGACATTCTGGGAGCTGAAGTCCACCCATGCTGGCTGGGGAATTCTGGGAGCTGAAGTCTACCCCTGCTGGCTGTTCAGTCCAGTCTTCCAGGGAAATCTGCAGCAAGGTATCAGGGGCAGCTCCATTTTACCATGGAAAGCTACAGAATTTGTTGGTCGTTCACATGGACTGTTGGACCGATTTCTCCAAGCATGTCCATGGCTTGCTGTCTCGCTGCCACCTTATGAAGTTTCCAAAGAGAAATGGATGGGCAAAAATGGATGTTTGCATGGGGTGAGAGAGGAAGCCAGGGTTGTATCGTGTATCTGCAAAACAAACCGTCTTACTACAGAGCAAGGGCCATTGAATTCAGTGGGACTTATTTCTCAGTAAATGTGAATAGTATCTCACAGTTAGTACCGTGGCAGAATTTGGTAGAACAGGAAAAACAAACTTTGCAGTTCTTTGAAAAGTTCTTAGTTTTTCATACAACTAAGTTATTGTTGAGCACAAGGTGTCATTGTCCCCTCCCCTCCCCTCCCCCCCACCCCAACGGATCTATTTAAAAGGGGATTAGATCGTTTTATGGAGGATAAGACTCACGGGATAATCACCCTGATCTTTCATAAGAGTTCAGGAAGCCTCTTGATCTACATTGGAGGATGGTACTCGTGGGCTTCCCACGGTCACTGCAAAAAACTATATGTTGATTAGGTTAGTTTTTATGAGCCTGCATTAAACTCTTCCTCTTAAAATACTTTAGAGGAAGCTCTGTTGATTTTAGAGGGAAGTGTGCTGTGTCGTTGCGTCAATCCAGCATCACCGTCTCAGTATCTAAGATACCGAGGAATTAAGAGATTTCTGGTACCAAATACGAGATCTCAGTTTGGTCCTTCTGGTTCCAAACCATCAGCTTCCTTCCCTATTTTGGTGATTGTTGATTGCACCAGTGTTTAATATCTCACACATTTTCTCACTCACTCGCTCGCTTATTTATTTATCCATCAAATTTGCAGGTCACCCAACTTCAGAACAACTCTGGGTGGCTTGAACCGGCATTACAGTGCGTGGCCTTCAGGTCCACTGACTGTGATACCCCTGCTTCAGATGTAAGTGCCGCTCCCCCATGGTGGGGTGCTCTGTTTGTCATACTCACACCCTGATTTTCTTTGGTTACTGGCAGTTTCCCGAGTGCCTCTCTGATTCCGAGAACGAGGAGCCGTTCCAGGGCCGACCCGCGTATCGGTCGGCTTTTGTCTCCAAGGGGAACGCCTACTCCGTCGCGTTGCTTGGAGGGTAAGTCTCCCATGAGATTCTGGGTTAGCTGTAGCAGGCGATAGAAAAGGGAGGTTGATTTTCAGAAGAACGGCTAGCTGAACTATGGGAGTATGCCTTGCTGTCTAGAATAGTTTCCAGTTAAAACTAAATTCTATATCAGATTTATTTTTTAGCTTCAAAGTAAATCTGACATAGAATTTTATTTTAACTGGAGACCATTCTTGGATTACCATCTCGTACGTGGAACCATATCACATCCAAAATGTGGATTTTGGAGTCCGTATCTTAAATTGAGATACAGTTTAACACATAATATAATTTAACATATTATTTACTACCTGTTTTTTTATTGATTTGAATGTGTTCACCAAGCACATGGTTTAAAGCTCAACAGGGACTGTAGGACCTCTTTCTCCTCCCCCTCCCCCCCATCCCATCCCATCTAGCTACTAGAACTGCAGGAGTAGGCATAGAAATTGACATTAATAATTAAATAGGCTTGTCCAGCTGAGCTTCCAAGCCCAGACAGAGTCAACTTTAAATGTGCAAAGAGGTCCAGAATCTGTCCTGGGAATAAATTGCAAATTAGAAACCATCTAGTACGGTGCCTGAGTGTTTGGGCAGCAGTATGACTGAGGGGGTTCTGGCTCTTGTGAAGGTAGCTAAACGACAGTCCTTTCCTATTTACTTATTCACATTTGGTGTTTATCCTGCCACAATCTCATGACACTTGGCAACTGCGACATAACAATAAGAACATCAGCAGTAGAATTAAAACAACATACAATCCAAATCCCAAAATAGAAACCAAAGTTGGAGAGAAAAAAATAGGAATAACAAGAGGCACAGGTGAAGTTACCGCAAGGCTGTCTGAAAAAGTTCAGTTTTTAGCTATTTCCTAAAAGCTATCAGGAAGGGAGCCAATTGGTACCCAGTTTTTCAATCGCTTCTTGAGTTATAATTTCCAAAGGAAGTTACATTCCAAGGAAGAATGTAACTCATGTCTTATATTTAAACATTTTTTTAAGGGTGATGGACCCAGATCAGACAGTGCATATTTCTTTGGGTGTCTGCTAGTGACTTCTGTTTCCTTTTACCCTCCAAATTAGTGGAAGGCATATCCCAGAGGACACACGGGCGTTTAATAATAGCAGTAAGGAAACATTGCCTTGCTTAAATGAACTTGCTAACGTTGTACTCTTCCCCTTTTTTGCAAAATCTATATAGAAATTTTAGCTCCAAAGTTGAAAGGAGCCAAAGTTGCAACGACACTCTGGGGAATCGATCGAAGAGCAGGCAAAGATCAGCTCCTGTTAGAACAAAGGTATTGGATCTTTTTGAAGTGCAATGGGAAAAAGTCATCGTTGTCTAAAAAGTCTCGAATCTTCCTCTGAAAGAGTTAATAAGAGGGTATTAACACTGTATGTTTGGATATGTTGTGTTACATGCCCACGAATGGCAGTGCCCTGCTTTCTCTTCCCGGATAAGAGAGGAAAGGTGGCTCTTTGGGCCTGAATGTAAACCTTGGCATGTTTAAGACGTGTGGGCTTCAAGTCCCAGAATTCTAGCTGGCTGGGGAATTCTGGGAGTTGAAGTCCACACGTCTTCAAGTGGCCACGTCTGAGAAACACTGATGTAGAACTCTCCTTCCTATGAAGTTCAGCAGCTGGTCTGTGAACAGAGGGCCTTGCTGTGCATCCCTGCCCCTTGAGCACCACAAGGGAGAGTAAGGAGCTCTTCCAAGTCTCCACTCTGCAACATGCTTTAGAACAGGGTTCCTCAACCTTGGCAAGTTTAAGACGGGTGGACTTCAAGGCTGGCTGGGGAATTCTGAGAGTTGAAGTCCACCCGTCTTAAACTTGCCAAGGTTGAGGAACTCTGCTTTAGAACAGCAGAGTCTCTCTCAATTGTGGGCAAACCAGAGTTGGAAAATTCAGGAATGGGGATGTTGGAGCAGGGTTTTATTTTGGTGCATGAAGCTTGTCCATTCCAATCTTGCTCGTGCCTTAGATTTTAAGACTCGTTTGGGGCCAGGAAACTCTCTGGTTTGAGGACATCTGACTGCCGAAATGCGCTTTGGAGTGGGAAGGGCATGATGGGGAAATGATCCTTAGAGTGCATCTCTCCATGCCTCCCAAGGTCTCCATATCACAAAATTATATTTAATTATATCTAATAATTTAATATTTAACTATTTATATTTAATTTTGTGGGAAAGGCTATATTAATTGACCCTGAGGTTCCTCTCCCTCTTATACACTGTTCTGAATTCACTTTCCCTTTTTCAGCACCGTAGCATCACCTCTGACTGAAACGGCTTGTCTTGCAGGCGAACCCCTTAGCCGGTGCCTCGGCTTCCCTGGTCGGAGTCCTCTCCTCCACCCAGAACAACCGCTGCCTCTCTGCTCCGGACCTGACGGCGGAGAAGCGCCTGGCTTCCCACCCGGGCTCTTCGTTCCCCCTCCTGCAAAAACAAGAGCGCTCCATTAGCCCCGAGAGCAACGACAGCATCTCCGAGGAGCTCAACCACTTCAAGCCAATCGTCTGCTCGCCCTGCACCCCTCCCAAGCAGCTGCCCGACGGGCGTGTGCTGAGCCCTCTCATTATCAAGTCCACCCCCAGGAACCTGACCCGGAGCCTGCAGAAGCCCACCACTTACGAAGCAAGCCCTTGGATTCTAAAGAAGTGGGAGCAGATCCTCCAGGAGCGTCAAATCAAAAAGACTCTCTCCAAGGCCACGCTGACGTCCTCGGCACCAGAGCTGGGGGAAGATTCTCTGGCCCTGAACGTGAATGTGCCCGTCAAAGAGCCCCCACAGGCGTCCGCTGACGTCTCCTTGCTTGATCCTCTCCCTCCCACCTGTCTAGCAAAGCTTGAAAGTTCTGGAAACGGCCGGAGAGACTCGGCCGTCGCTACAGAGCCTCCTTCGAGGCCCCTCCTGGCAAGACCCCCAGAGAAGCCCCCCAACACCAGGATTCCCGAGCTCGCCGAAGCAAAATCAGCTTCCCGTCTGGCCGGATCTTGCTTCCACCTTGATGCCAAAACGATAACCCGGAAGGTCGTTCGGGTCAACTCGGCCTTCACAGAGAAGGGCGCCCTCGGGGCTTCCGCCAAGGCGGCCGAGAGGAAGCCGCAGAAATACTGGGACGAGGGCGAACGGCGCCCCTTCCCCAACGGCCTCCGCCTCGAGAGGGGGCTGGGCGAGGAGGCCTCGTCTCTGCGGCGGGGCCGGAAGCGGCCGTGCAAAACCAAACACCTGGACCCTTCGGCCAAGCGGCTGAGGCCGGCGGCCTGTCGCAAAGGCCCCATGGCTTCCGATCCCCTGAGGAGGAAGAGGCGACGGCGGCGGAGCGGGACCGATCAGAGGCTGCAGCAGGAGGAGGCCGACCGGCGGCTGGCCGTGCAACTCCAGAGGCAGTTCGAGAGGGAGAACCGGACAGGGGAGAGGCAGAAGGGGCGAGCCGACCAGTATTTCCTGCGGTCAAAGAACACCACTGGGGCAAAATAGCCCTTAGCGAGCCACGTGGGCTTTTCAAGATCGCCTGACATCGTCGCCCGTCCCCGTTGGCGGAGTTCTCGGAAGGAGAAGTTCTCTCTGGTTCATGCTGGAGCCGGAGGGAAGCCACGCTTGAGCCTTCTCCCCAAAGCTGATTCTGAGATTATAAATCTCACTCGCAGGGAAACCCCCTTAATCTGTCCTCATCAGGAGGACGGATCTGGGGTGCCTGTCAAGCGACTGTTCTTGGGATCCTAGTCAGTTACGGTAATAGGGATGAGTGGATGCTGTGAGTGGCATTTGTAACTTCAGGAGCGGCCCTCCGTTGGGAGAAGGTCAGCAAGCAGAATCGCGGATCCGCAAAAATCTATTTAAATCTATAATATATGATTAAGTCTCCAGATGAATGGATGGGCACTTGCTTACTTGGAGCCCAAGCTAACAGCCGTGGGCCAGAGAGAACCTTTGGCTGCTGGGCATGGGGTCCCCCCCCCGGACCTCCAGCCCCATCAGCTCTCCTCAAGGAGTCCTTGGGGTGGGGCTGCGTTGCAGGAGGCCCGGCCAGCAGCATGAGAATGCAAACCCTGCTTTGTGGCAGGCAGAGTGGGAAATGAACAGTGCACTTAGCTCTTTCTCACCAGTAGGGTGTTTCATTAGGCTCCACAGCCAGACCAAACGTCTCTGGGATAGAAGCTGCGAGGACAGATCCCGTCTCTTAAGTTTTTCGTGCCCAGATTTATGCACAAACATATTTGGGGGATGAGATGGTTGTGGATTCCTCCAAACTACTTTCAGTATTTGTTTTTTGACATGGTTGAGTCCCTCCTGAGCTAGTTTGCGGTATCTTGAGAAATCATTGTTTTCTTGTGTCTGAGAACATGATTAACTTTTGTGGCTCAAAATCAAAGGCTTCTTTTTAAAAATCTGCAAGAGTTAAGTGGGAGATTTGCTTCCTGGGCACTCTTCTAAAGGGACCACTTGAACAGGGCAGGTTTTGGAGCACTTCAGAAGCAGCACATTTGGCTGACCACATGGTATTTTGAAGTTGTTGATAGCTAAACTTAAGAAGATCCGGGGAAGGTAGACCCAAAGAAGCTTTTCCTCAAGGAGTTAGGATCACATGCCTTTCAAAACCACCCTAGTCCTTCATGAGTCTCTCTTAGGCCAGAGTGTTAGTCTGGTGTGTTGCTCAGAGGCAGGAAGCAACTTAAACACTCGATACCCTTGAAAGATCCATCTTGTACCATCTGTACCGTGTAGTGTCCACCTCTCACCTTTGCTTGGACCAAATTAATCTGACACGTGAAGAGTTCCCTAACTTGTGTCTGTTATGTAGACAAACGATTCTCTTGCTGCTCTGCATTCCAGTGGACTTTGAATTATGTCCGTATTCTAGACCGTCCCCCCAGCCAGCCCACATCAGATGCCCTCTACTGTGTTGTGACTCAGACCCATTCGTAAGAAAAGGAGGTGGAGGAACAGAAGCTGGTGACCCCAGATGAGAAGATACCTGAAATTAAGTCACTGCTAAGAACATCAAGATGGTGTTGGAAAGAATTTTAGTTCAGTTCTGTTCAGTTCAATCCTGACAAATCCAGAATGCCTTTCTGAAGTGGCCTAAACGTTTTATACATGCACGCAGGGAGAATTTTATGCCAAGTTAGATCATTTGGATGAATTGATGAGCACGCCCCAGTGGGTATCGAGCTATCCTCTTGGCTTTATTTTTGTACGGAACAGTGCGTAATCGCCCAATTCTGACACTTCCGCACACTTGTGGCAAGCGTATCACCTCAGTGTTGCTTCTACATACCAAACGCTTGCAATCCAGTCTGGCCCTTAAGACTGCAATTCGTGGGATAGTGTTCTGTCCATCATGGCTCCCTCCTTGGAGGGGGAGCAAGGTGGGGTTTCCTTTCCTCTTCAGTATCCGATGCTGCCTCTTTCTGAAGTTGAATCAGAAGGGTCAAGGTTTGAATGTCGGTGGGAGAGCGGCAGGACCCAAGGAATCTGAACTGCTCCTGGCCAGGAGATGATTCAGACCAGCTCTCATTGTGGTTTGGAGAGTCTGGAGAAAGGACAGAGCCTGTCTGTTTTCCTTTGGCAGTCCTTCAGGGAGGCAAACAGAATTGCCCCTTAGTGCCCATTAGGTTTTTCCACTCTGGTCATGGCAAACAAAGCACATCCTTCTGCTTCCAGCCGCGGTAGAACCGAAATCTCTCCGTGTGCTGTTGCTTACTCCTGTGAAAAAGGACATGTCAGAAAGGAGCTGCATTTTTTTTCCCCATCTTACTGGTACCATATACCTGAAAAGGAGTTATTTGCACTAGCAGTAAAGGTGAACACCAGCAGCACAGATTTGGAACATGCTTTTCATACGTCTGTTGCGAAGGCTGAATCAATGCTGGGTGTGGCACAGTGGGGGGACATCATGTGCTGGTTAGGCCTTCCCAGCCGGACCCTCTCAGAGGTGCTGGAACTACATTTCCCACCGTTTCGAAGGAGCGTAGAATTTGGGGTGTTGCCATTTCAGTGCTTCTGAAGGCGGCCCAGTTTTGGGGAGGCTTGTGCAGGTCCTACCAGCCTCTGGAAAGAGGTGCTGGAGTCTGGAACAAAGCTTTGTCCACAGGATCCTGATCTGAACTGGTGCCAGGGGTTTCTTTCCAGTATTTGCTGCTTGATCCATGCCTACCATGGCAAAAATCCTTGTAGAGATCAAGTAGTTCATGAACGAGAGGAGGGTTATTCCTGTGGGAACCAACCTGGACTTTATGCTTGAGAGGAAGGTAAAGCCAAACTCGGTGCCCTGGTGAGCACGTCAGCATCACTCTGATTTCCTCAGTATTTTTCCAGTTGCTACACCACTCCAGCCCAGAGACCCCGAGCGGCCCACGTATTCAGCTGAGCAGACAGCTGAAGACCTGCTGGGCGAACTACTCCTAACTTCTCCGTTGGGGTAGGTCCTTCTGGGGAGCTGAGGGCATCGTCTGTTCCTTTGGAAAGGCGGGGCGCAGCCACGCTGCACGTTATCTAGGCACGCCTGAGTTTCTGTTGATTGGGCAGAGAGGGGGCATGGCTCTCGGGGTGAGGAAGTTCAAACCGGCGTGGGCTCCTGGAAGGAGGGCCTCCCCAGCAACGAGTTTCTTGAAGCGGTGCTTTCCCTGAGAGAAGTGCGTAATTTGAGTCGTGGGAACATACCCGCACGAATGGAACGAGAATGCGGCGCAGGCAACGCAGGGATATCGGCAGGCGCAGGCACCCTCTGAGCTCAGTGGTACAGGCAAGAGGAGCTGCTGTCTGAAAGACAGTCCCTCAGCTCCTTGCACCAGGAAAAGGAGGAAAGCCGCTCTGCCTCCCTTTGCTCTGCCGTGGCTCTTACAGAGGCCAGCTTCACTTCACGTTGCAAGTTTCTGTCTGAGTATTTTCCTTCTGGCGACTTCACTGATGCCAAACCTGGAAAGTTTGGAGTGCGTGGAGCGGGTCCAAACCCAAAGGGCATCCCTTTCGTCTGGGTAGAAAAACGGGAAATGGTTTAAAGCCTGTCTTCCTCCTTGTGAAAGCATCATTGTTAGTCTGAAAAGATTTCCCAGTAACCCAGAAGCTGCTTAATATGTCCACTTGCTATCATAAAATGTGTGGTTTACCCTCGGGGTAACTTTTCCAGCTGGTTAAATAGGACATCCTCCCTTTAAATCAGTGTATCCCAACCCAACTTTAAGATGTGTGGACTTCAACTCCCGGAATTCCTCAGCCGCCACGTGTGGACTTCAACTCCCAGAATGCTGGGTGGGGAATTCTGGGAGTTGAAGTCTCCACCTGTCTTAAAGTTGCTGGGTTGGGAAACATAGCTTTAGAGACTCGCCGGGCTCTGCCGTCACCCTGTTTGCTCTACACACAAAACATGAAGAGAAGTCTTGCTAGCATAATGCTAACTTTCAGCGCATCCGTTCTTAGCTTGGCAAGGCTTTTGATTTGACTTTAAAACCTTAGATTTTCTTTTCTGGCCCTATGACTTCTTCAAAAGGATAGCTATGCATTCTGCCGTTTTCTGGCACAGGTGAAAAGCGGGGGGTGGGGGGGCCGGGGGGAGATTTGGGCAGGACTTGAGTGAATCACAATTGCCAAAGACAGAAGCTGACTCTGACATTTCACTCTAGCTTTCTGGAGATTCTCCAGTGGAAAAAAGATACCCTGCAAGTTTTCTTGGTCCGTCGATGGAACATGTTGGTGAGGAAAGGGAGGGCAGTGGGCCAAAAGGTGGGGTTTTTGTGAGATGATTGTATTGCATCTACCACGTAACCATCAGTGTTCTTTCTCTTCATCTGCCTCCGGGGGGGCCGGGTCATGCCCAGTGAAAAGGAAGAGGAGAAAAGTGCCAAGCCTTAAAGACTCTCATGAACAGGTTTTTAAAAAACAGTCCCGCCCTTGGAGCATTGCTGCAGTGAACGCTAGCAGAACCCGCAAGGAATGTGCTGGTGTTTTGGTTTTCGTGCCTCCAGGAGCACCCCATCAGGGGACTGAGCACGGTCCCCTCAGCAGTGCGCCTTGCCCCAAAGCCGAGCATGGGTGCGGGCCTCTATCAAAGCCGAATATTGTGCTGTGCTGCGCGTTCACCATGAAGTCAAGCCTGCCCTGGGTCCTCTGAACTCCCCGCTGGCACCCTCGCCTTTCTAAATATTGTGTTACAGGAGCCTGATGGGAGACGCGGCTTCTTCCCCGGCTGTTTAAAAACACTGCGCGCAGGTATGGCGTTAGTTATCCACTATGCAAACAAGAAGACACCTTTTGGTTGTAAATGATGGGGTTTTGCGTATGCCGAGTTTTTTGTGGGATTTACTGTCAGATGGTTTCAAGAAAAACAAAGATTGCTGCATTGCTCTGCTTCCTTAATCTCATCATCAATCCACCTTGGTATGCTTTAAATCATTTTGTGCTTCGATGTCTACCCTTGGCTTGGTACCTGGAAACCGGTGCAGCCCGAGACTAAGCACCACTTTTGGAATTTCGCCTGAATCACTGTGGCTTCATCAAATGTTTTGATAAAACAAATCTGTTTACTGAGAAATGAATTGGTGTCTGTGTGTTTATTAGTTTAAGGTTCACGAGTCTCCCTGAACTTTGTTAAAAGTTTCTTCTGTGAGATGTTTTGGAAACCATTGCAAGTTGGACAGGATTAAACAGAGATCCTTGAGTTTGGCCAATATTCTGATTATAGCACAACAATACGGCATGCTTTACGCCATAGCCCCATGACTGGTGATCGGTCCTACTGTTGTCTTTACTGAGACACCAGCTTTCAACTGTCCTGTCTTCTTGTGTGTGAGGGGGTGGTTCTGGGTACAGGCCGGCAACAGACTGCTTTTATCTTCCTTCCACAAAAGGAATAGTATCAGGGTTGGGAAGGGAGATTTGCTAGAGCAAGAGAGTTGAAGCCCCCTGCCCTGAGTCCAATCCTTGCTTCATGTAGGAATCTAAATTAAAGCATCCACGCAGTTGCCGTCCCAGCAGATGAAAGTTCACGTCTCTCCTAGGGAGGAGGGAGTCTTAATGTAGTTTAGCATGCAATGTGAAATATGGTTTATACATCCTGGTTAGTGCGTTGTGTGAAAGCCATTTGTGGCTTCTTAAAGCATAAACACAGTGCCAAGGCAGCTGAATCACAACATTAGCCAGGAGCCAGAACTGGGCAAGCCTAGAGAAAGGGGCTTGATTCTCTGGGCTTGAAAGCTTCATGCACCAAACGGTGCGATGCCCAGGGAGGCAATTGCAGCTGCTGATGTGCAGCCTGAATGAAAGCCAGCTGCAAGCGGAAAAACCAAGCACCAGAGAACATGAGTTCCCCCATTGGGGGGAGATGGGCGGTTGAAAAATTTAATAAATAAATATGGTGGGACGGCAAGACCCGGATCCTGCAAGATTGCTCCCGAATCTGTGAGGGTCTGGTTTCTGTTGCCCCCCGCCCCACTGTTTCACACTAGAATTCACCTGTCCCTGAAGACACTGGGAATGCGCAAAATGTTGGTGCAGGGAACAGCCAGTTCTGCTTGGCCTTTGCCCAGACTGGAAGGACGGACCTGGGATGCATCTGGCCGGAGCTGATGGGATCCGGGGGGAGAGACCATGGCACAAAGGCCACCGGCAGTGCCAGCAAAGGGACGGGAAAGGCCCGGAAGGCACTGGGAAACTTGGGAGAGAAGTATAGGTATTTGGGTTGGGCATGGCATCCTGAGCTTGAATCCCAACGCCATCATGGCCAAGAGGAGGTAAAAGGAAGGTGGGCACTGGGAAGTGAGGAGTGCCCCAGCCTAGCCCTGCTCACCTGGTCAGACCCTCCCTGGATTGGTCTCGGCCAAAGCTGAGCACACCTCAAACATCCCGTTTTCCTTCGGCCAGGCTGCGACCTGCCTGGCACGTGATCCCATCCATCTTCCAAGCCAGAACGTGGAACAAGCTTCCTGTTTCATACAAAGCGCTTGGGAGCTGCTAGTGGGAAACATGATGTCAACTCACATGGAGGATGGAGAAGTTTGAAGAACAAAAGCCTCTGAGATGCAAGGGGAAGCAAGTTTCTCATCAGAATGATGAATATTGGGAATAGGAGATCTGGGGGTCCCATTTACAGTGCTGTTCCCAAACGCGATTCCACAAGACACAACAAACTTCAGAAAATAAATACATCCAGTCAGAAAGATAGAGAATGTGACTTGTTAATTTGTAAGCTTTTTTCCCCCCAAAATCAAAACAAGCACATCTCTTCTGTTATGGACACAGTTCAGTGCAACATTTGGAAAACTTATTTTTCCAAGAAGAATCAAACTTCAGCATTTTGCTAGCATCAAGAAAGAAGGCTGATGATGGCTTTATGCCACACTTTCAACCTTGTGGGATTTAAAACTATGTTGTTGTTCTCCTTTCCATGCCCAAATATCTCTAGCTTTTCCTAGCACATAGGATTTCTAAGCCATCCTGAAAGTCGAAGACCTGTTTCTTTTAAAGGATGTATAAAATTTTTGTTAACCAAGAAGTGTTGTTGAGGGAGAAGCCTCAATTTTCATCCTGGTGGCTATCGCAAGGAAATCAATTGGTTTTATAGAAATAAACCATGGTTATTCCAAAGGATTAAAGCCAAGAATAGATCGCACTTAAGTGCACGTATTGTTGTAACCCAGCCTTTGAGTGAATTAACAATGAGCTGAAAACTCCCTCTGACAAAAATTCCCCAAAGTTCAAAACATGGATAGTGAAAGAAAAACCAGAGTATTAACAGCAGAGTTATTTTAAGGATGAAGACCTTAATGACACTAATTTTCTTGAGTAAGAACTTAAGAAAGCGCCTAAAAGAATCACCAGGAAAACAAAATTACAACCATTAAGGTAGAAGAAATTTTTATAAGTGAACCTTTGCTCTGTGGAAACTTCTGACTTTCTTCCATAGGCAGAGGAAGTCTGAAATAAGGAAAAACGTAGCAAAAATCTTGTGTGGGGGAAGTGCTACTGTTTTATAGCACGACACGGAAATGTGGTAGTCTTAGTCTACCACTGACACCTTCCACAGGAGACCTTTTGCAGGGCCCTGACTGCTGCTGATTAATTCTCAACATGGTCTCCATCAATGGATTCTTCTGAACGCTGGTCAGAAGGACTGGCTGGACTGCAGTCATTCTAACAAACCAGAGACCCATCGCTGACGCAGCTGTTTATTTGACTGTTAAAACTGCTACACCGCTTCCAGGCACCCAAGACTTCGGTTTTGAATGTTCCCTTCAAGATGCACCTCGAGGTTCCGTGTTTTCTGTTGCACTGGTGAGCTTTCATACTGGAGGAACTGAACCAAGCCTTCCAGTCTAAGTTATCCTGTAAAAGAAGGTAGTCTGTGTTCCTCAGAAAGTGGGAGTCAGGGTTATCACCACTCCAACAGCTGCAGGTCCTTGAAGCAAAGGGTCTCCAAGAGCAGGTGCCACTTGAAAGTCTTCTAAAACAGGTAGGTTATGGCACGCCAGTATAGCTGGGAAGTCTCTTACTGACAGGATGGAAGAAAATCATTATTCTCTTGAAGGACCTGGACAGAGGACTCTTCTAGCTTTCTCCTCACCTTGACCTCAGGAAGACTTTGGAGCTTCTGGATGTGGTTCACTTCAGTAACCTGTTCCTTACCAAATGACCTGGACTCACTGATCATGTTACAAGTGGCCACTACAGATTTATACTCTTCTTGAAATTCTTTCAGTAGTTCTAAGGCCTCTCGATATTCACGCCAGTTCCCCTTTTTCCTCCGCAAGATGCATACTGCAGAAAACAGAAGTGACCATCATCACCATCATCTAACACAGTTATGTCAGATGTTGCAAAACTACCTACACATCTGAATGCACATACCATGTGATGTGGCTATCAAAAGAACAAAATAAAACAGGAATGCATAATGTCTTACATTTCTCCTTGGGAGAGGGACTAGTGGGTTAGATTTATCCCATTCATGTGAACTTGTTTTCAACAACTGCTAATGCACATTATTATAAAAGGGGTCTCCTCTGAGACCAGCTAAACTCTGGTTGATGACATGGAAACACCCCAGCTGTTTTCTTGGCAACAATCAGGAAATAGATTGCTATTCCAGGGAGATCAACCAAGGTCTAACAGGTCTAGATACTACCTGGGTTCATAATACTCTGGTTGGAACCAAAACAGTAGGGAGCAGAGGCATGTGTAGGAACACACCCAACCTGGTTTGTCTTAATGTTATGCCAGAGAAAAATGGACATGATCAAAAGGAAATGAGAGCGAAAGTAGACATCTGCAGGAAGAGAAAGTATGAGTCCTATATGAAAAAGTTCAAGAAGACAGAATGATCTCCCTACAGAATGAATGGAAGATGGACATCTAGAAAGGCAGTGTGATAGTTGCTATAAAGCGAGTGAAAAGAATAAGACTGCGGAGTGTAATTCCACGAATGGGAAGTCTAAAAGGGATGCCTGGTGGAATGATGAGAAAATGCACGGAAGAGAATGGTGTCTGCCACATGGACGTTCTCAGTCTTTCCTTTCCTCTTGATCCGTTCACCCCTCCTTCATCTATCTGTTCTGCAATTCTCTCTGCATGCATTCTCTCTGTATGACTAACCTCAACATACTTCTTTCAATCTGGGCATACGTGTCTGTATTCATTCCATGTTCCTTCAGCACTTGACTAATTCTTGATTCACCTCCTCTTGTTTTATCTCATACACTTCTTAAACTAGGTTAGTTTCTGATTCAGTGTATTTGGCAAGTGCAGAACCTGGGTCAATTCAACCAGCAGCTGAAAAGGGTTGGGTGAACACAGACATGGGATAGCTCCTGCCTTTCTCTCTAATAGCCCTGCAGCAAATCCCATCTTCCACGTATGTCCAAACTCTCCTCCAATTGACCACTGGCCTTGAGATCCTTTTCCGGGGCCCTTACCTAGGGGTATGTGGACAATGTTTGCAGGTTTCCTCAGCTCCAGGAGGATTTCTTCCAGCCGTTCCATTCTGGTCTTTTGAACCACTGGCGCAGGGACTCTCAGGACCTGTGAGAAAAGCAGATCAAAAGCAACCAACCAAGGATGAGTACCATCCTTCACACACCCTTCCTTCTATTAGTGGTCCTGAAGAGGAACCACAGTCCATGTGTACTCATCAGCAACAGATGGCAAGCCTGCTCATGCTGATGAACTTCGGTGTCTGCAGAAGTTAAAAGCACCTTTAAGGAGCCCAAAGCCAATGCAACATGGCCAACTGAATGACATAAAACTGGAATGTCTGAGGAGGAAGGGACTTAAAGATGATTTAGTCCAACCCACGGCTCACTGCAGCAATCTACTAAACCATTCCTGCTAGGTGGCCAACCTGTCCTTCTGAAAAGCTCCAGAAAGGAGGAGTCCATCTGGGCGGCAGGTGGACTGTCTGGCTCCTTAACACTTCTTACTCTCAGAAAATTCTTAATATTCAGCCTGATCCACTGAACCTTTCTTAGAAGTTTCCCCTTCTGGTTTCTCAGTTTCTAAATCCACGACATGTCTATAAAATATGCAGAAGTTTGTGAATTGCCATAAATACCATATCCTGTCAGATTAAAGCCAAAAGAACATTTAGACCGCCATAAAACACGGACCCTGTAACATGGCTGCCATTTGTACAAAATCTAGATGACCCAGGACGTGGCCACAACATTAAAGGTACCTTATTAGATAAGCAGCACTGCGACTTGTGGATGTAAGTCTCGCTATGTTAAACAGGAATGAATAGAATCACTCTATCATCACGTTTTCATTTTAGGTTTTTTAGAATTGTCCAATAAATGAACACCCATGGTATTGATCTAAAGATATAGGTAGCCATTATTACTACTTAAAATAGGTAAAAAAGTATTACAACGGTGCTTTCTAAACAGAAAGTCTTTCCCAATGGTTCTCCTTGGAGGACAAGTTAAAAAAGAGAAGATGGTGGCCAGGACCTCACAGCCAAAAGTCTGCCCCTTTTTTACATGTGGGGCTTCAGCTGAGCAATTGCAGCCACCATCTTGACGTTTTTGACCCCTTTGCAGGTGCCCCTGTGGCTAGGCCCACGTACTCCACTAAATGGCCCTGAGGGAGGTGTAAAAAGACATCAGTAACTAAAAAATATTATCTTTAAAGAAAGACGATGCTTTCCATGACATCCAGAACTCCAACTGGCGTGACTTTTGGTCACCCTGACTAGGAATTCTGTAGTTCAGTACCTCTTGAGGGTGCAGGTTGCAGAAAGGTGACCCATGAAGAAGAGGTGAATAAAGCTGACTGACCCTTTGTAACAATCATGAATTAACGCCTGACGGGAGGCTGAAGAATAGCTTCTATCTTAGAGCTGCAACTATACTGAATTCTATCGTATAG